CAGTTCCTATAACGGTCCCCAAAAGCTACAAGCAACCTACAATCATCAACAACCGCACTCTTCGCCTGTTGGTCAGAATACAAACGAACTGACAACAACGGAGCGTACAGGCAATACAAACATATAAGGAACATTTGCATGAAGACTATAAGAGAAGACAGGCTTCAGTACAAGACAAACCTTATGGATAAATTTGTCTCCAATTTGTAAAGCTTGTTTTGTTATGTAGCCTCTCTTCGTCAAGCCAAAACTGGAGTTTTCCAACTGCCAGGTCCAAATGGCCCGACCAATAACGACGGCGATGCCGCTAATCTTTTGACTGAACATTACTCTTGGACATTTCAACTAACCCACATCAGCTATACTGATGACAGCTTCATCTGCAACTGCACAGGTCTTTCCGTATTGAACCTGAGCTCTGACTTAGTGTTCCGGAAACTGCAGCACCTAAGGGAAGACACTTCTCTTAGTCAAGATATGATTCATTCTGCTATACTGAGGGAAGCAATCGAACGCGTTGACAACTTCACCTATCTTGGAAGTCTGATCAACCCTAATGCGTTGGTGTCTGACGAAATCTCAGCACGGATTCGAAAAGCTCGCTTGGCTTTTGCCAACTTATGTCACCTTTGGCGAAGGCGAGATATCCGTCTATCAATAAAAGGACGAATATACTGCGCGGCAGTCCGTTCTGTTTTACTTTACGGCAGCGAAACGTGGCCTTTAAGACACTCGTAAACTACTAGTATTTGACCACAGATGCCTTAGAAATATTCCTGGCGTCTGCTGGGATCACCTGACAAGTAATAGTGAAGTTGGACGCAGTGTATTAAGGAATGATGGTAAATCAGTTGATTAGGTTGTGAATCTTCATCAACTGAGATGGTTGGGCCACGTGTTGCACATGCCTGAACACTGATTACCACGACGTGTAATGCTGACCGGAGTGGGGGATGGTTGGAAGAAAGTTACGAGCGGCCAAAACAAAACGTGGCATCGGTGCTTGAAGACACTAACTTCTAGTCTGAGCCATGTTGGAAGATGCAGACTACTTGGTTGGGGTCCGTGTGACAATCATAACCAATGGTTGGAGACTGTTGGTGACATGGCTCAGAATCGATCACAATGACGTCGGTGTATGTGTAGTGGCATTTGACCATAACCACACAAGACTACTCAGAAAATAGATATTCAATATTTAACACGGAGAAATACCTAACCATGAGGAAGGCGCGGAGAATGAGTTGAATGGACTGGAGTTGATCGAGTGGCCATGCAGGCGTGGTCTCTGCTGAATGTTACCTTATATCTTCTATTCATATTAAATATATTGTTCTTTCTCTAACCTAACCTTGTTCTACATCATATATTGGTAATTGATACGATACAGTGAGTTGGTGTAGTCGATGGTGTGACTTCCACGTAAGATCTTATAGATTAAGCAGTTATATCATGACAAATCTACAAATTTAGGATTAGGTCTATTATAAGAGCAGTACTACTATCATAGTAGACCATAATTCTACATATGCACTCTCTGTCTTCACTTAAACTAAGAGATTAAAATTGATTCATATCTTTCTTTCTACGAACTAATTCTTTCTTCCTGTACTATATCCTTATTGCAATCTTTCTTTTATATATTACCACCTTTGAATTAACTACTTTTATGAATCTGGTGTCTATCTTGTTGTGTTATTGAGGTATGGCAACTTGGACCGATGCATATATGTGCCTGGTCCTACGTTTTAGCTGAGTGACTGACTGAGGAAAGCAGCCTCGATCCTGGCAACACCGCTGAGCGTGATGTTCTCACACTCGCTAAGCCGAAGCAAACTACCGGGAAATTGGAAGCTGGCCCACATCACACCAATTTTCAAAGGAGATCGACGCAGAGAACTTTAAAGTTACCGACCGGTGGGTCTTCTCTCTATGCTTTCAAAAATCATGGAGTCTGTGATATGCGATGGTATACATGACTTTTCGCTGCCCTTAAATTTCTTCTCACCCCAACAACATGGTTTCAGGAAGGATCACTCTTAAATAACCAACCTGCTGACTGCGGTGGACAGATGGACAAGCATCCTTGATCGCAAAGGGAAGGTTGAAATAATTTACCTTGGTTTCTCAAAAGCTTTTGATATATATATGTCTTATCAATAAGCTCAAACGATTGGGTATCAGACCATCTCTAAATGATTGGCTGAAAAATCGACATTTTAAGATTAGGATTAACTTCACTTTATCTGAGGCTATGGAATGTCCTAGTGGGGTCCTCTAGTGCTCAGTACTAAGACCTTTTCTCTTCTTGATTTATATAAATGATCTTCCACAACAGGTGTCGTCAGACTTATTACTTTTTGCTGATGACATGAAACTTTGGAGAGAAATACGCAACCAAAACGATATACAGGCACTTCAGGAGGATCTGACTCGACTTCAAAGTTGGGCAGACGATAATGGACTTACCTTTAACACTTCAAAGTGTAAAATAGTCCATCTGTGACATGTCGCAGACTACAGTTACAACTTATGAAACTCCTTTCTAGTAGTATCACAAGTCGAAAAAGATTTAGGAGTCCTGGTGCTCTACGATTTGAAGTCTTACGCTAACTGTGACAAAAATGCCTTTCGAGCAAGCCTAGCACTGGCAACACTGAAGCGCATTTTTGGCCAGTTTGACGGAAGAACTTTCCACATAATCTTCAACAGTCTTATTCGTCCCCACTTAGAGTACGGAAACATAACATTTCCTTCCTCACTCCAAACGGATAAGGACACTCTGGAGCGTATCCAACGACGAGACACGAACTCAGTTCGGGGACTTAAATTCAAACCTTATGAAGAGCGCCTCCAATCACTTAACCCTTACCTGTTAGAGTATATGCGTCTTAGAGGTAACCTCCTGATGTCTTACAGTATCCTTAACACTTCTGGAAATCCCATTAAACACCCACTTAAGCTTAGTCCCAATACAAACCTAAAGGGTAACACCAAGTAACTGGAGATACAACATAGCAGAACGGACTGTAGACACAGCTCCTAATACTTAAGAGTTGTCAAATTCTGGAATTCGTTGCCGATTGAAGTAGTACAAGCAATTTTCCGGGAGTCCTTTATGAGGAAGCTTGACCTATTCTTAAGGACTCAAGATAACACTAATATGAGTTACCAATTTTTTTCTAATCTATTATAGTTAATATACCTAGGTTCCCTCCTGTAGGTATTGGTGATTCCCTGCTACTAGACACGGAAACCTGTTAAGCGAAAGCTCCTTCTATTCCGTCCACTGACGTAATGTAGACACAACTTCTACTCCTTAAGAGTTGTCAAAAGCTGGAATTCGCTGCCGGCCGAGCTAGTCCAAGCCACTTCTCAGGAGTCCTTCAAGAGGCAACTTGACCTGTTCTTAAGGACCAAGGACAGCATCACATTATGATTTACCAATTTCTTTTCCTTTTTTATTGTTAACATACCTAGGTTCCTGCCTGGAGGATTTGGTGATCCCCTGCTACTAGACACGGAAGCCTGTTAAGCGAAAGCTTCTTCTATTCCGTCCACAACCATTTGAACCATTTGAACCATTTTGAACAACCATTTGAACCATTGAACTGGAGCAAATTTTCAATAGCTATCGGTACTGTGGTGTTTGGCAGGTAATATTGGTGTTGTTTGGCCTAGGGGATTTACGGATTGCTGATTGCGAAATGAGTATAGTAAAGTTTGAAAAATTGTCACTGTCGAAGTCGAGGGTTAAATATTGTTCAGTGAAGTATATACATTCAGGTTTTCGGAAATGATAGAATATATTTTAGCTGAAAGTTTGGGTGAGGTTTCAATACATTCAAGTCGGTCATCAGCCAGTAATGATAAATGGTTGGCTTACTATAAACAGACTAAGGACTAGTGCGTATTTAGTTTCGGTTCGTAGTAAAAGGCTCGTGTCAGTGAAAAAGTCTAGTGAACGGTCGTAAAAAGTTTTCAGAGTGATTTTGCGAAATTTCAATCACTTGGTAGGTTCAAATTACGTCAGCAATTATCGTTGTAAATCAACGATTGTTTTTTAAGTATCCAGCTAGATATGCTCTAGATAACAACACTAAATTCATAAGATTAAAAAAATGAAACAACTTTACATCAATACTAGCATTTTTCCGGTCACTAGAAAACACGTGTTTTGAAAACGACAAGTTATGCATTAGATTGTCTTACTTATCTTTGAGGTAGATTTCTGTAAAAAGTAACCGTGAAGTAACTTGTTTATTATGATTGGTGTTTACGGCATATCACACCGACAAAATTGCTCAAGTCGTTTGTTCAGTCGTGAGCCTTATCAAACTTTTCGATCAGCAGGACTACTATTAGAGGTCCAGACAGAAAAGGGTATCCAACAAATTGTTTGATAGTTCTCACTATTATATGGAATGTGTAATGCGCTAGTTCAGCTGGTTTTTTGTAGTCATTAAAAAAGAATCCTAACTTTATGTAACTGAGGTAGGTAAGCGATAGACATCAGTGTGGAAACATTTAATTTACGTATCAGTCCCCAATTTATGCCAGTAATTCCTAGTTTTTATTATTATTGACTGTGAATTCTAGCTGTCGAAACCGAATACCTTTGTCTGGCTGCCATGGCTTTTCTAAAAATAGTTGCGTTTAGGAAGTAAATGTTTGTTTTCCCTCAAGAACTAAACAATCGACATGTAAATGGCAAGTACTGAGTCTTGGTTGAAGTTATGTTGAATAGATTTATCCAAAAGTCGCTTGAGTACGTTCTTTATCATACGTTTATTTTGTTTCATTTCTTTGGGTAATTTGTGGGTCATTAAGACCACATTCTTGCATATATGGCTGTTATTTTCCATTTATTTGAAAGCCAATCGCATTAGCTAGTTGCTCAGACTAGCGGCGCAATAATTGAAAGCCAATTCAAAACCATCGTTTCAACTTACATCTTGAAGTATCTGTTATTACCTTCAACTATTCTTTTGCTTGAAGTTATGGTGAAAAGTAAAAAAGACTTTCAAAAGGTTCGAGTTAAAGTTGGACGGAAATTAAAATGCCGAAACGAGACAGTAATCAATTTGCAGAAGAAGAGAATAATCCTTCCTAAAGAACGTGAAATTTGCAAGGTGTGCACAGTTATTAATTATATATGATGAATAACCTAGATACAAGGGGATGAAACTAGTGTTCGAATCTTTGAAAGTTCTATTCATTCACTAAATATTGAGGATAGTGCTCTTCGCCAGTCCGCTTTACGTGCTCTCAATCGTCTCTTGGATCCACTGGCAAAAGGAATAACCACAATTCCATTTTTAGATAAAAACGTTTTATCTCTATCCAGCAACTTTATATCAAAAGTAGTCGATGAACATCAGAAACTGTTGGGTTCTTCTGTAAATACAGGGTGTGATATTCAAATAGGAAACTTAATATTCGTACTTGGGCGATTTTGTAGACGAGTTGATGACCCTCGCTTCTGCGATGAGATTTGTCAGCTGTTCGTTAAGATTGTACAAGTAAGTTTATGAGTTTTTATAATGTTCGTATACTCACTCTACGTGGTTATACAAGGATTATGTGATTTTGGCTCACCAATTCATCACTTATATTCCTTTCTTATAATATGTTAGGTTGGTTTTTTTGTGACCATATTTTAGCTGGCTTACTTCAGTAATCTAATAATGTTTGATTTGTGAAAAATATATGGGTCAGCTATTTGAATATTCATTTTGCTCAAATTTGATTAGTCTACTGTTTTTAGCAACAATCATTGTGTAACTAAGCTAAACCCCATGAAACTTTCTTTACATTCGAGTCAGAATACACTAATATTATTCACGAAGCGATTGAACTTATTATTCGTTTAACTGATTAGTTCTAAGCATAATTGTTATGCTTGTCCTAATAACTTATGATCTAACCTTTCGTTACCCTTCCTAGTGATTGATATTTCTGGGTAACCGATACAAAATTGTATCCCAAAATATGGTTTTGTTTGATCTGCTTGTCATGTCTGAGATGTTAGTCGATATCACTTGTTCGATTCTCAGATTAGAATTCTGATTAGAATTTCTCTACCCTTTATTATTATTATTATTGTTATTATTTTAACACATAGATATTGGTACAAGGAGGCACCAAATAGATATGTGCCACACAAATCATTCGATTTGTGTGAGGGCTGTGATACTGCCCGAGTGCCCAAACCGAAGCAGGTGGTTATCTTAGGAGGCCACCCCCGAGCCTTTGACCTAAAGGTCTAACCCACAAGGCAGTGGAGCATCGTAAGGAGATGCAATCCCATGGTAGCCGGTGACCAACGAGTGGTTCATACGCCATTTGTTCCTTCAGGATACTGGATTCCATGTGCACCATTGGTTTGGAATCCGGTTAAAGCGCCGGACATTCGCTTTTCGTCCTCTCAATTTCGTAAACAACACCCCCGCCACGAGAAGACAATGAGTAGGACTTGCCTGGCAAAGGCTGTATACGCGTGGCCGTGTAAGAGCATTTCGAGAAGGAGGGCGGGCCCACCCCTCTCGGTCATACCAGGGCATTTGGAGGCCTCTTTTGTATACCATTTTGGCTATCGCTAGCATCCTAGGCTTCGACCAATTGTACGTCTGTATTGGTAAGAATAACCCTGAGTTTGTGTGGCAAACAGTGCATACTTCTGTTGGTTCGTTTATTCTTAGTCCTCGTTCCGAAAACAGAACACAGGAGTCAAACTTCTGTTCTATATTCCAACCATCCATTATATCTATCCTAAATACTCGTTAGTTTATATAAATTATCAAACTGCAACGCATCCCAAATATTGATTCATACTTTACATACAATCATGCCATAAGCGCAGGGGAGCAGAGCAAACAGTACATAATTAATTAACAATTATTAAGGAACAACAAATCGTATGAAAAGTTAGTAAGTTCACTGAGAGCTTACAATAAGGAGAATATATAAATACAGTAATACGACTGTTTACTAGTTATGCAACGAAAATATAAATAATGATGATAATCCGTAAATGAGTCTCAAGATTTACATCTTCTTCTATGTTCACTTCTCCGCAACGCTATTGTCTAAGCTGTGATGATTTTTAAGTTGCTCCATTTCACTGAGTCACTATGTACCGCCATAATACTGGGTTTGAGTTCATCAATAGGAATGGATTTCTTGCGTGTTTTATTTTGGGATGGAAAGTTGTTATTTTAAATGTTATCGACAGAAAAATACATCTCATCTAATTGCTAGTTTTTAGCCAAATCACTTACTGATATATCGAAATATGAAGGGATATTAGTCATAATTGGGTTCCGTGATAAGTTACCACTTCCAAATAAAAGTTTGGTGTGGTACGCCCCTCTTAATATTATTTGCAAATGGAACGAACTGAGTCAGGTATCCTATTACTTTTTCGTTTCTTTGTTCTGTAGCCTTTGGCGTTAATTATCTCCTTCGTAGACGGAATCAATTCCGTTCAAGAATTTTCGTTACAATTTCGATTTGTATTCTGAACTGTTAAATATGTTAACATCTTTCAAACACTGTATGTAAAATTGCATTGCAGGACAAGGAATACTGTAAAAACAATACACTATGTACCAATAATTAACATGTATTTGACTTTTAGTAAGGCTTTCATGGTAATACAAGATGTATTCGGACTTGTTCAGTGGTTTTTTACATTTGATTTTAGTTGGTAGGTAGTTGTTAATTTGACCTTTCATATGACGTTTCCCAGTATTGTTTACGTTTAGTAAATTACCGAATTTCTCATGCAAATATTATAATTTACTCCTTCGATAATGGTAAGAGTTATGCTACTTACTCTTATGAGTCGTTTTCCATTCTATTATTATTTATCAACCTTCATATATTGCTCCACTTTTCAATATATGTGTTTCAGATAGCGTATACTCACCCAAAGATATCAGATATAATATTCGAATTGGATCAGGTTGTTCTTAATCTGTTACACAGAAGTGAACTAGTTTGGAAATTTCTCGGATGCCACCTCTCTGCTTATACATTTGGTCTACATTGTAGGTTAACAACGACTATGAGCATATTGTATCAACCATCCAACCGAACAAAATCAGTTTATTCAGGAGTTTTTGATTCACTTCAACAATCAATACGTTTTCGAGCTTATTCTAATCTTATGATTCAATGCTATAATAATTTAAGACAAAATGTATGTCCCTTTAAAATATTTTTTTATTAATTGTGTAGAGAAATTGAAAAGCAATTCAGATCTTTGCTTTTTTACATGTTTAACAAAAGGAAACACCTTACGATTCTAATCATGTAATTCCACTTCTAGTTTCTGAAAACTTCCCGTATTAAAACATATATACGAATGAAGAATTTTTTTTCAATAAGTTCTCTTCAGGTCCTACAATTATATATCCAAATTAATCCAAAAATGACCAGGCTCAAGTCAGAGTACATCAATTTAAATTATAGCACGTGAAGTTAGGATCATCTGTAATATAAAATAAAATGAAATCTTTGGTGTCGGAATGACTAATATAAAGTGTTAACTTGAATGAGCTTATACGTTAAATGAAATTGTGAGATAAATGATCAGAATAAATATAGTTAACATAGGTTGAGAGAGATAATAATGTAACTACGTATCATAAATCACGTAGTATATAGAACAATATGAATTGGCTACGAATTAGTAAACAGAAGTGAATGCTGAATAAATTTCTCAAAAATCGTTCGCATATATTATTTTAGATACCACAAGTAAAATTCTAGTATATCAATCGAGCAGTAATCACTTACCTACGTTACACACTTTCGACAGCCAGCTCCAGTTTTAGTATAGAACACAGGACGACAGTTACAAAATTCTATTTATGAAGTGCATTCATCACATAAATAAAAAGATAAATTTACATTCAAATGGTATATCTAAATGGAATGAAATAATGTATGATAAGAATATTTCGTATCATTTCATTGTGTTACAGGAGATTATATTAACTTCTCACCTTAAGATAGTGAAGTATAGATACAAACAGAAAATCGAAAAGCATAAACACAAAATGTTACATAAATCTAGTCATATTCAAATATGAAAATGAAACTTACATGCACGGTGGTTCTTTTGAAATACTTCAGTAATTATGTACTTCCACCATTCTTAATATGATATCGCACAAAACTCTTAGTTAATATTGCTATATAAAAAGGCTATTAACTGATCGGTGGTTGAAGACTTTGGATAGTATGGCTCGGAATTGTTCACAGTGATATTCACGATCTTGAACTCCAGTATTCCTCCAATATATACCTTTCCACAGTCTTTTCGGACCATACTCTAAGCCCTTAGTTTCTTTTATTATCATTTTTACATTATTTCGTTTTCTCTTGCATCCCATCTCGTACCACTTATGTTAACTTGATTCAACGCATAACTGTTCCCGGCTCTTTGTTGATGATATCTACCTGTCTCTCTGCAACCGTTCGTTCTTCTGGCCGCATATGAGTTTATGTTACAGCTGAATATAGTAATAAACTATCATTCTTCGAACAACATGGAAAAGTGCCTTATGACGAATTTTAAAGTGATTGTATAGAAGAGAAGATTTCAAATTTTAGCTTCGCTTTTCTGCATGTTGAAGCTACAGTGAGGTTGGATCCATATAAGGGTTTCCGGTTGAAAGAAGTGGTGTTTGCTTTTTGTATGAGGTACGTTTGCACATTTTTCTGAGATGCTTTGGAATGAAACCACGCCTTACATCCAATCGACTTGTTGGTTTTTTGTAGTAATGTTGACACTACTCATAAGTAGCTTAAAATATACGAAGGTTTTTAGAACCTGCTGGACAGCAAGTAAATATTTATCATTTCCCACCAAAAGGTTAGTAGTAAGATGAGGTGGAAGGTTAACATATATGCTCGTCTTTTATAAGACTTTACAATGGGTTTCTCCATTTATCTTTCGACGTTTTTCAGCGCACTTTCAAAACTTTGTCGAAGTATCGTGCATATTTGGTTCGAACTACCATGGTTTATTTGAAAGATAATCAATATACGATGTCTCTGAGTTATTCTCAAAGTCATCATCCTTGGTTGTACTCTTTACCGTATTTTTCAAACGAATATCTTCAACTGTATATCCCTTCGAAAGGATATTATCTCAAGGAATTGATTGATTTCCATCCTACATCGCGTACTTTTGATTCTGGTTTATTCAGTGTTGTCAAACACTCTCTAATATTCCCTTCCTCAATTAAAAACATTGTCGTGAATAATAAAAATTATCAGCATAAACGGAGTGAGAAGAATCAAAGGAATTTTACAAGCAGAGAGATTTCTGACAGTTCTTCGATTGCTTATACTCCAACCTGGTGTCAAGAGGACTACGATGACCAGGTTATGATACATGGCTTGATTGGTGAAGGCTTGATTCTATTGGATGGTTAGTTAGTATGAATTTTTGGACTTAAATTGTTGTTTCAGATCTCCGGGACATATTTAGTGAAGCTTGAATCATGTATAGATAAAAACTAAAAATTTTCTGACAGTTCCCACTCACTAAAGATGCCTTTAGGCGGTGTATCAAGACTTTTATCTTACCTTCTGTTATGTCCAAGATAGAAGGTAGGTTTGAAGATTATCATAGACCATAGGAAAAACAAGATGAAAATAAGTTGTCTACAACATTTTATATGTCTATATAATGTTTTTAGCATATCATTATGTTTCTATATTCAGATCTGTTTCATTGTTATTTGTTGGTCATCTTCACTATAAATGTTCCCTAGAAAAAAGTAAAAGCGTTATGGTTTTAGCCATTAAATACCATGTTCGAGCCCCGCTCTTATTTTTCGTTTGAGCAGGTGACCATTACCTTTAGCCATCACTTCAAGAGTGTGACTCATACCCAAGTACCTGGTGGTTGACTTAATTTGTCTTTCGTTAATTCAACCAGTATCCTGCTGGTTTAAACTGTGTTTCACTTTCTTCCTTTTCCCCAACCTTGTAGTATTTCTAGCCCTCATGCAGTGTAACTGGAAATCGACAACACAAGACTAGATTTAGTAAAAGAAGTTACACTGTTAAGAAACAAGTACTAATTTGTGATTTTTTAAGTGCACCATGTTTTGTTTAACTTTTTTTCTTGCATAGAACTAAATGAAAATCCGAATGAGGAAGTATTAAGCAGCCTGTACTATCTTCTTCGTGCTTTGCGTGTTGTCTTCGAAACAAAACAAGTTAGTTTTTTCACTTATCATTCTAGTGTGAAACGTGATTATTCCGGTTGGAGATTGGATGTAAATGAAATGTGAGTGTTAGTGTGTTACTGAGTTTCATCGTTTTAAAACTATTTGCCTGAGTCATTAAAAAATAATCACTTTTTCTTGTCTGATTTGCAATATTGTCCGATTAAAATTTTTATTAGAAATTAAATTTAACAGGAAATAACTTTAATAGCTATCTGATTTATTATGTATGTTTTGGTGTTACGGAACTGTTAATTCACTAATTCAATTTACTTTTCATTAATTTCACTCAAATAAACTACTATGTATGTTTTATTCAAACGTTTATTTATACGATAGATGATTTTGAAGTGGTGGAACGTTATAGTGTAAGTTAAAATTATTATGGCAGAACATCAAATGTTGATCTAAGGAAATGAGAAAAATTACAGGTATAATCCTTTGACTCAACACTTAATGTTTAACACAGTACGGAATTATCAACATGAAATTAAAGATCAAAGGTTTTTCTCTTTGTTATTTTTATCGGATTAATGTCGGTTTTCTAACCCAGTTCAACAAGAGAGTAATAATTAGTTCATTGAAACCCTGAATGACATATCTCACAAGTGATCTCTGACCTTGAAGTATAGAGTCTATACAAAACAAACTGGGTATTTTTATTCTTTTGATCATATATATATATATATATATATATATATAATATTCTAATCTCATTGAATATAGCAAAAAATATATTTATAGTGAAATCAATTTATTTGAAACTACCAAGCCAAACCTTGGCATTGATACTTACAAACTCATTTTCATTCTTTTGTCGGAGAGATCCTATTTATTCCACTGAAAAGCCCAGAGGGGCCCTGTAAACACTGGGAAACAATTTTTCCAGTTAACGTTAAATATAAGCTTCTCAGAAACATGTAGAAAGTGAAGAGTCATGTGTCATATTTCTGATTAGATAATTACCTATCCTGCTATTATATTTTCTGTGGTTCCAGAAACTTTCAGAAACCCAAGGCCATTTAAAATACCATAAAAACCATCGATTTAATATATTTAAACTTACCTTCGAGTAAAGCATTCTTTTTGCACCTTCTCTCTCGTGTTTCCCTGTAGATTTAGCCTGGAGTTACTTGAAGTGTTTAGGGAAATTACTCAAGCGTTCAGTTAGAAAACTTATCATTTTATTCGACTTTACCTTCATATTCGTTCATTGTCGTGCTTGGTTTTTATGATTTATTTCATATTTGTATTAAGTTTCTTTTTTGTCCATTAATTTGAGATGTACTGGTTTTATTTTACGTGTAGGTTTAGATAGTTCTTCAATCACCTTGTCTTCATCTTTATTATTATTATTATTATCTTGAAAACAGTTTTCGTCATAGATTGATATCAACTAAAAAATCATTGAAAATCAACAAGCATAGAATCACGCTCCGATTGAATTCTTTTTTCAAATTTTAAGTATTATATATATATATATATATTGTCGTGATTTTTTTTAAACGACGCAGTATACAAGTTAAAAGCCTTTACTTAGAGTTCCCACCGTCTCAATATCAAGAAGAAAATCACTGAGGTAGAAAAAAACGGCATAAATTCAGAGAATAATTTTCACCTATTCATTCATTGTTCCTCTAAGCATCACTTCAATCCTACTCAGTTCAAATTTACAGTTGATATAAAAATAATCAGCAACTTTATAAACCTGTAGTCTCATTAGCTTAAAGCTTGTTTCATTCATTCTATTCATCTTTTTTTAAACTGAAATCTTCTTTGAATGCTTAATGTTTGCTTGTGTGCATGACGTTTTCTTTCTCTCAATACTTCTCTAGAATATTCATTTGAAAATCTTGTTTCTTCTTGCTTGAAAAGAACTATTTTGTTTGAATTATTATTGATTCTTTTTCGTGTTATTAATTCGAAAATTTTATTTTTAGTTCACCAGATTTATCCACATCATTGGAGCGTTTTTTGGCCAAATTTTATTCAATCTACCCATTACAATTATCTCCTGATTCTTCATTACTTATGTACATAAAGTGTAATAAACAAAAGTCACAAAAAATTAAAAATAATCAAATTGGAAGTGCTGCATTTCTTTTAAACTCATCCAATGGACAAAAATCAGTTAATTTAACTAGAAAACAATTTAAGCAAGAACGTAAACGTAGAAATAAACAATTGAAACGTCAGTTGAAAAATGCTATTATTTCTGGTGTTACTGATGATAATAACAATAATAATAATACTGACAACGTTGATGATCATAGTGATTCAACTGTTGTCGACTATGATCATTCAACTTCAACAACTAATTCCAATGATTATTCTACAAATAATACGTTCAATTCTATCCGAAGTAGGTTATTTATAACTGTATAATAATTTTAAATAGTAAACTGACCTATCCTGTTGGACTAGTGTTTGTTAGCATTCATCAGTTAGATTTACTTAAAACCCTGAGATAACTTACATTTCTCTAAAAATTCAGAGTCAGATCACTCAGTTTTTCGATCAAAATTATTGTATCTAAAATATTTCAAAATCAAAAAGCCTCATTAACACATAAATCAAGTTTATTTCCTGGCTTTGAAACTACTATTCCTGACTGTAGGTATCATTACCAAGGTTTGATTTGATAAATATATTATTTATTTACTACTCCTAACTGTTCAAACTTTGTTAGTTGGAAACTGGTTTAAATATATTATCGACTAACTAGGAATATGGTGTCTGTATCAGTTGATCACAATTCTTTGTAGAAGATATTATAGGTTATGTCGATGGATGTTAACAAGTATCATGTAGAAACGAAGAACGTCCTAGGGAACTTCCTTTAATCATACAACATTATTCTGATATAATATAATAGTAGGTTACTTCAGGATGTTTTATCTAATCAAGAGGCCAGGTAGACAGAAATTTAATTAGTTTGAAAATTGTTTTTATTAAAATTCAATGTATACCGAATCTAAAGTGTGTTTTCGATTAAAAGAATTTTCAAATTAACAAAGCTTTTAAAAATTGAATTGTTTTTTATATACTTGTAACTCTGTTTCCTTCTCTGTTAGCTATATGTCTTAACAGGATTTCCACTAAAAAACACTCAGAAAATGTAATTAGTTATTGGACATTGTTACAAAATAAATGGTTTATATGATTTTGACAATTAGAAACTATTCAAATCAAGTCTCATGACAATGATAGCTATATAACTCAACCGCCACCGCGTTCTTCAATTGTATGTCCAGATAAATTCAACTTAAGAGATTGGATAGTGTTATTTATGGATGCGGAGAGGGCCTTTTTATTCAGTTGGATTCGGTTCATGTTTCACTAGTATTGACTGTATTTGAATGGGTGCAAAATCTTTGAACTAGTTGGTGGAAACCTAAGGTGCAATTGAGAAAGTGTATAAATAGTATATTTTTTTGGTAAAATGTAATTTTCCTTACAGTATTTTTCTCTTGCATTTGGTCATTCGATGCCTTATCTCGGCTTTTTTCTGGTTGCACATGAGCTGGACCTCAAAGTTTGGCCATTTGATCATTAGTGAGTTATGATTGAAACTTACATTTGGGTAGCTAAATAGACAGAAGTAGCGTAAAACTTAACACTAATGTCTATCAGTACGTCTGATTATGCGACTGAGTGGTTTGAAATATCCACAAACTAGAATAAAGTAAGTGGTTTCAGACTTGTTACTCAACTATTGACAATCTAGTGTTTGAACCATCTTATTTGTTTCCAGCGTACATTCGAATGTTTTCCTTTCTTGTGATAGCTCACTCAGAGCTATAATTTTGAAATTCTGCACACTTTGTATTTGTATCGAAGTCAAGAAGAGATCGACATATTTTCTTTCGACTTTGTACTCTTATTGCGTTTCTTTTTAGGAATTAATAATCCCTCTACAAAGGGTAACCTGAATAATCAAATATTGTTTTGGATTCAACTAATCAATCAATCAGCTTTTGAACTATTTACTTACATTGAATATTATTCATTTAGATGCTCAACAGCAAATCATCACTCTCCATTTCTATGGCCACCACCAGAGAATACTCAAGAGCGTTTAATCAGGTTGTGGTTTAACCAGTTATCATGTTTTGATCTATCTAACGCGACAACAGAGTTTTACTATGAAACCAGCTGTTGGTTACGTTCATTTGATTTGTATTTGCTGTCACCTTACCGTTTTAAATGGAATGTAGAGTAAGTTTCTGTTGTTGCTACTATCAATACTATTAGATGGAAAACTAATGTATTTTAAGAATATATTATATGGTTAAATAATTAGTCAACTTATTTTGCCCATCATTAACTATTTTGTTGTATCATAGTTATCCGCCACCCAATTATATGAATCTAAGTGGTAATCATTAGACCTATCCGGTATTCTACAAATTTATCTTTCTGTATTAAATTTCTTCGAAATAAGACGTATATTTTGAAAAATTTTGATAAATTTAGTGTATGTTTAGATGACTTATTTCTACTGTATGACAATCTCAATCCAAGCTAACATTGATGTCTTTGAGTTAGTTTCCTTATCCCATAGAATATATGGTAGGTAATTTCACTATCTAGTTCATTTATCTCTGTTTTAGCGTAACGGTGACTAAATAATTGATACCTACATAACACCTTTGTAGTTAGTTTTCACTAACTTAGTGCTTAAGGCGTTCGACCTCCGATAATTGCTGCTACCGTGACGTGGTGGTCGAGCTTGCCTATCGTAATGAACCAATCGAGCTATACTGGCTGGAAAGATCGTTCCTCAAGATCCTAGCATGCCAGACAAGTTGGTTGAAGAACGGTAAGACTAAAAGCAGCAAACCCCAACGTCTGAGGGCGAAGTCGTACTGCTGATTGTACAGAGGTGTGACGACAGTAAGGTGTTTCCTCCAGACAATCAGCATGACAGCGATGCTGCCTTCCCACAAAGAGGGGTGGGTTTAGAAGAGGTCGACCCCAAAGATGCACAACTCACCTTACCACATGGATTTCCGTCTCCAGAGGTATGGTCTTAACAAGTACAAGGCTAACACGAAAATTACTCACAGAAAGGTCGTGTGTGACCGACCTCAAGCAGTTGTCCTTTGGGCACCGCGGTCACACTCTCAGGTCACAAAGGCCACCTCTAACCAAATTTCCTTTTCAGGTACCTCCAGAAGAACCCTTCCACGGTGTGGGCGGCCGGAAAGTGATAACCGCCCTCATACCTTTAATAGCACTCAAGACCACTGTATTCATAATCACTCTCCCTCTTCAATCCCTATTATGCCTCCTACCTTGACATTAAACTCTATACTTCTTTTAACTTGGTCCTTAAGTGTCACCATGGCAAACGATTCTATTGTGCGAAACACTGTCCCAGGTCTACTGAAATCTCGCTCCAAACTACAAATTGGAGCCTTCGGCGTACGCACCTTGTGTCAAATCGGCCAGCAGGCCTCCTTTGTTAAAACCCTATAGTCTCGTATTATTGATGTATGCTGTGTCTCCGGAATACACATACAGGATCCTAGTGTGGTCATCCGCTTGACCTCACTTCGCCAAGGTGGGATGCCGACGAGATACACCCTCTGTGTATCTGGCGACCCGATGGCTACTTCTTGTAGACTGGCTGGTGTAGACAGCACTAAGTACGAGGGAAGAACAAGCACTATTAGGATGGATCCCTATTAACAGTCGCCTATGTGCTGTTCGGCTAAACGGCTCCGTAAGAACTCGTAAGGACAGAGACGCATGTCGTTGCCTTTTCATCGTTTCTGCCTACACTCACACCGCCTGCAGCCTGGATGAATTGAAAGACGACTTTTACAGAAAGCTTTCTGAACATGGCAACTGCCTGAACCAAACTGCGATGGACTCTAGACCATATTGTCATCAGTCATCGTTGGAGAGGCTCGACCGAAGTCTGTCGCTCATTCTGGGATAACTGTTTGGACTCCGATCATGCTCTGATACGAGCATGCATTTGTTTGCGCCTCACTAAAAAGACCCATTAGGATCGAACTAAGTGACGAGAAAACCATTTGTAGTTTCCTGAAACAACTGAGGTCACACAGTCAATTTTGAAAACAAGGCTGACCTAGATGTTCCCTTGAAAGATATACAAACAGCAGTGACAACTGTTAGTGATTTAAACCAAAGGGTTCAGAAAAACCAATGGATTTCCACTATTTCACTGATGGATTCTCGTAAACTCATCTCATCAGGCTCTGAACATGTTGAAGAGCGTAAACAAATCAGATCTAGATTAAACCATAGGCTATGTAACGATCGTGAGCAGTATTGGGCAACGAAAGCAAACGAAATGGAAAAGGCAGCGGCTGTAGGTAACATAAGACAGCTTTCTAGATCAATAAAAGAAACCAGAGTTAAGAAGTCAAGTGTAAGCGAGACGATCTCGGTAAAAGACGACAATCTTATCTGCTCGCAGTCCAAACGTCTAGCACGATGGTCGGAACACTTTAAGAAGCAGTTCAACTGGCCTTCAGCTACTCTACAACTACCCACCATTCCCAGACACCCTGAATGGAACATTGAACTAGGTCCCCCGACTCTAATTGAAGTTCAACAAGCTATAGCTAATCCGAAACGATTAAGAGCAGCTGGTCCGGATGGATTGGCTCCAGAGGTCTTTAAGTATGGTGGTCCAATTTTAGCGATTAAGTTGACTAGTATTTTAGCTAAAATCTGGGAGTTGAACGTAATCCCATCTGACTGGTCGCAATCACTGATTGTTCCAATATATAAGAAGAGATCAGAATCGTCCTGTGATAACCATAGAGGGATTAGTTGGACTAATATAGCATCTAAAATACTAGCCTTAATAAATACTGGATGCCTAACAAAGACTCGAGAAATGCAAATACGAGAAAATCAGGCTGATTTCAGAGCTGGTCGTGGCTGCATTGACCATATAGCCACTATTCGGCAGGTTCTAGAACACAGGCATACTTATCGGTATCCGACAATGACGATTTTGCTTGACTTCAGAGTAGTATTTGACTCTGTAGACCGAGAGGTTCTGTGTCAGTGTCTGTCACTGAATTGTGCACCTCAGAAGTGCATAAACCTTGCGAACGCTCTTCACTTGAGCATTTCTAGTTGTTGAGTCAGAGCTTATGGAAAGTTGTCATCTGATTTTGCAACTTCAAGTGGTGTCCGACAAGGCCGTACTTTATCTTTTCTAAGTCCATCATAGACCTACTGCTGGAAATAAAGTTTTCAATGACTGAGTTTTCAGGGTTTGATCTCCTACCACGAGGTCCACTTATCGACTTAGAATACGCAGATGATAAAGACCTGTTTGGTGAAGACGCTGACGAAATGCAGTGTTTTGGTGGCACTGAGCAACAGTAGACGAATGCACACATTTTCTGTCAACCTTGTCTTTTGGTCTTTTGTTCGCTTCATCTGGCTAACAGTTTCTTGCAAACACCTCTGTGCAATTACTTAGGATTTATTTGATCTAAAGATAATATATATCACAAAGTCAAGCTATACTGAAAATCACTAAAATCGAGGGAGCACACATCATAATTTAGAAGCCAATAGTGCATACTTATGATCCCACACAAGACGTTGTGACCGTATGTTTTTCACCATATGTCAGTTCGTGTATAAAGCTATTCATATTAGGAAAACTCCACAAACCACCTATTATGTGGTGACATGTGACTAAATTCTAAGTTCTCATATTGAGAGTGAGATATTTGTCACTGATGGGATGAGATGATTGTCATACTGTTTCGGAATCTGACTGAAGCTGGGACTGTAGATGATTGGGTTCATACCCAACTGTCCAAATTCTCATACCAGTTATGAAACGTAAAAGGTTCTGTATCCGATCTCGTATGAGGTTGTAAGTACACACTGCTATTGATGATTCTTCAACTAAACCCAAATAACTGTTCAGTGTCCGTGTTTTTTTTAAAAATTTTCTGAAATTATTATCCCTACTTCATAGCTAAAATTACATTTAATCTAGTTATAAGTTGGTAAAACACTGGAAATTAGTTTATGAAGTTTTACAGACATACAGACCATAAAGCCAACACGTAGGAATATGTATCGTAAAAAAGCTGTTGAATTCCATTACTTAAAATATGCAAGTTTTAAAACTAAGGAAAAATAGGCAGTGATTATACCCTAACACCATTGTTAGCACATTCCTGACTAAATTTTTATTAATTCTTATTGTAAATTTATCGAGTCATATTTATATTTACTGTGTTATTGAATTAATACAGTTCAACAATTACGTATAAGATTGTGTACTAGTCTTTGAGATACAGTTATTATATGAGTGACTGATTGTTCTACCAGACGAAGCAAAAGCTTCGCGAATGAGTGTTGTTGTATGTTGAGACATATGGCTAGACAGATCGAGTATATTTCCATTTCAATAATTTGAATGTACATAACCTTAACCTGTCATTGAATTTTTAGATAATTAAGCCAAAAACGTTCTGGTTTTAGTCTATGCATTGCATAATTTTAATTAGTGTATTAAATGATCTTCAACCCTATTTTTCCTCAAAATAACAATCCATTTATAAATTTTTAATTCTCGCATCACCTCGTTTTTAATGTATATGTGTGTGTCCATACGGTTAGTGAACACGGAGATTACACCTAGGGGAGTTGGAAAACCCTGATTCCAAACCAATGGTGCACATGGAATTTAGTACCCTAAAGGAACAAATGACATGACCAACTATTGGTCACCGGCTGCCATGGGACTGCATCTCCTCACGTTGCTCAACTACCTTGTGGATCAGACCTTTATGTCGAAGGCTCCGGGTGTGGCCCATTAAGAAAACCACCTGCTTCGGTTTGGGCACCCGGGCAGTCTCACAGCCCTCACATAAATGAAATGAGAATTGTGTGGCGCATGTGTATCCGGTGCCCCCTTGTACCAATATTCATGTGTTCAAATAAACAAATCATAAATAATTATGTGCGTGTCCATACATATAGATTCAAATTCATATATGCTTGAGGGTCATATATTTTCCTATTTAGTACTATTTGTCATCTCTTGTCATGAATGCAATCTAAGTTTTATTTTTCGCCTTCTCTTTTTATTTGAATACATAATATTAGTATATCAACGCGATTGTTTGTTTCACCAGTGATAGTTTTCTTGGGGCAACTTTTCCATCTATTCGCTATTAATAATTCTGTTAATGGTGATAAATCCCTTAGTAAAAGAGAACATTATTTAACTGGTCGTTGTGCTGGTCTATTAACTACTGTCTTAACAAGAGAATTACTTCGTCTTAATGAACAAAAACCTGAATCAGAGAAAAATTTAAATGATGATGATGATGATGATGTGTCGGTTGGTATGGATGTTGAATTCAATTCTCATGGAGTGGAATACAATGAAATGTGGTTATGGTAAATAATCATCTGTTTTGGCTATTTTACTTTTATTTTTCATTGTTTGTTGTTTATTCATTCAATATATTTCACTGATGTGTCCTAATGTTTAGTGTTTTGAGGTATTTATTGAGAATTTTCGTACCTAGGTCTGTGCCAGTTGGCACTCTAACAAGATGTACCTACAATCTTAGAGGAATGGATGCTTCCTCTCTTAGTTTAAGGGAAGACAGAGGGTGTGTACACCGATGCCATTGTGATCGATTCTGAGCCATGTCACCAAGAGTCTCCAATCGTAACCAATGGACACCATTAGACAACATGATAATTATTGGTATATTTTTCCGAATATCCTAACAAATACAAATATAGTTATCACTGAATGCTGATAAAACGAAACAAGACGTTCTAGTCAAGAAAATTTTCTTTTGAAATGGTAGTACGAAGCTATCCATGATTACAGTACGAAGACAACTTTGTATTATGTCAGTTTGTAGGTAAAAATCACATCATCTTGAAATTTTCCAGGAAACCACATAGTGATGTAATGATGATATTGTAAAATGTGAGATACCATTTGAGAAAATGGTTTTATCAATTTTTTAAGCTAATCAGTTGTAAGTCTAGATTTTATGTAATTAATAGTTAATCTTCGCCGCAAGCTACATTTAGCTGGAAAAATATAAAAATATCACTGGTTATCATCTGCCACCAGTTTCTTCTATGTTCAGATATCCTCAAGATTCCGTGTCCACAACACACAGAGGTTTGGATACAATGAACTAGTGTTTTACAGCCACTAAATTTTCTGGATCACCCCAACAGAAACAAAACAGTCTACATTTTAAGATCCTCATATGATATACTGTCAGTGACTTCTAGTACAATCATATGATCTACCGTACTTGTTCGTATCATTAATTGTGAACTTTTATCTTCTACACTTGCATATGTGTGACTGCTTATGTGTCTATTCCACTGTTATATTTTGTTAAATTTCTGAACTGTATAAACTCACTCAATTCATCTAACGATTGATTGATACATCACTACACATGATTCACGACACTGTATAATTTACAATTTCTACAACGTCTGTACTTACGCTTGGTCTGCTGGATTTAAGTTGTTGAATTACATTTATCCCAAAGTACTTAGTATCCAGACTTTTGACATCGTGTTGTCAAATTTTTTCGATGATATACAACTGGATTAGTTTGAGAAGTGTAGAAAATTAACATGGTTCTATAGTGTCAGATTCTACTATTTAAGGCTCACCAATTCACTTGTGACTTTTCTAACTCCTTTTCTTTTTATGGTGATATATGTGTGAATAAAATCCGTAATTGAAGATGACAAAAAACAATTAACAGAATGATAGAAAAAGATCTCAAATTATAAAGTGATGACAAGCATTGAAGCAACGAATTAGCTCTGTAGGTAACAAACATTAGCTCTATATTATTTGAGAAAGTTTATATCACAAGCAGAACCACCTTAAATAGATGAATTTTAAAAATACTATAGGTGATGTGTAGGATATCTTTATCTTTCAGTTAACACAGAAATCAACTTTATACTATCGATTTATAATTTATAATTTCGGTTTATTCATTGAGTTTATTTATCTGAACAGTTTAGTTTAACCCTTACACAATAGTTATGGTTGATAATTTTCATTTTCACTTGTTTAAAAGTTTATGATTTGATTTCGTAAATTATATTGAATAAAGAATTTAATATACCCGTGTTATCAGAGCTGATTGAGCTATCGCTTCCTAATGAGAGTAAGAGTATGATTTTTCAGCTTGATCATTAATGTTTGTTTTTAGTCACCTGTTATAACTTGTCACCGCCGATTAGAGAGCAGTGAATTATCGATCGAACCAGTGACGCATAAACCACGTGCGAGCAGCCTAGAGTCCTGATTGGTCTCGCTTCCTGTCTAGCCCAGCCAGTTAAGTCCAGAACACCAGTCTCAGCCTCTGCAATGTGAATCGTTTATTTCAAACATACGGGGTTTATATACCAATCAAAACGACCACAACGTACCATAAAATAGAAAATAACATTTGTACAATATTTAGCCAAAAGTGGCTGTGAATAAGGGAGATGGTAATTAATAGACAGGCCATAACTCAAGAATGGTAAATCGTATAATAATAGTTCATTGGTCAAAATAAAACTCATAATAAGAGGGACATGAATATGAACAGTTTAGTTACATGACAATTATACGATAAAAATATACTCATAGTATTGGTCCATAAATGGATCCCAAGAATTACCATTCATTATTCTTATCGGGATATAACATCACCTCGCTTGGTTTATTCACGGTAGCATTAATCTGAACCTATACATGAATAATGTGTTGTGTAGATGTATGATCTCGGCTGATATTAAAGTGAATATAGGTTCTTTTCCCTACTCCTAACGATAATATAAGAGTAGATTGGAAGAAACTCAGACGCAACCAAGTCAAGATAGCATTAACTTATAAAATTATTGACTAATGATCTGAGTCGTGTTAGTAAATCCAGACTACCTGATTTGGGCCGGCACAATTATCGAAATTAGAAGGTAGACATTGGGTGAAGTGAATAAGAATCAGTCCAAATGACATCGTTGCATTCATTATTTACACTCTATATCTTGAGTTCCAATATATAGCTTCATATGTTATACTTTTGAATTTCTACTTCTCAAACCATATTTGCTACATCTAGTCTTTCGTATTATCAGTTCCACTACAATCATTTAGATTCCTTTTTTATTCGTCTCGTTAATTTCATCTCCTTGTACTGATACAGTGTAGAAACTTGAGCTAACACAGTTTTGTTTCGTTCTTTCCACGGATTATGACTGATTGACTATGAATTAATACAATAAAATATTTTCATCTTTCTAAATTATTTGAACATTCAGATCGTTTCAGTAGTTCTTTATTAAAGTTTTCATTGTCAATGATAAACAGAGAGACACAATTTAATGAAAACAATGATCTACTGTTCATGTGTATTATTAGTAAATTATCTGGAATTTTTCAAAAAAATCTCTATAATGAAATATTTCTTTAATTAAGTATTCAAATGTTACAGATTAATTTATCTTTACGGAACATTGAACTAAAGTATTTTTATTTTAATTTTTTTGTTAAAAAAAGGAACAAATTACGTAATAATCTGTCAGATGAAAGAATTAAATCTCTGCATGGATCAATATTTCCCACTTTCATAAATTATTTAGTTCAATTTTCATTGAATCAATCTCCACGTATTTGTTATGCTCCCCCATTAACTGAAGAAACAGTAAATATTATACGAAATCAATATCCTAGTTGTAATATTTCCATTGGTAATCTTAAACAAATACAAATTGTAGATAGTACTTGGACAGCTTGTCTTCTTCAACTCTATCATGTCAAAGTAAGATAATTTTAATTTATTATTATTGTTATTATTATTATTATTACTATTGTTATTATTGAAGGCATTTAAAATTCAAAAATGAAGAATATTTGAGCGAACCATGGTTTTCAATAACTTCATCATCAGACTCTACAGTTACAAGTCCATAATTATGATATTTTACAAAGGCCAAAAATAAGGCATGTATTAATGAATTTGACAATGTTAGGTGTTAAAAATGGTGAACGTTTGCATCTGTTACGACATATATGTACTTCAAAATTGTATTATTTGCAAATTAGAAAAGTCATTCAATAAAGGTCAGAATGATTTGGAGTAAAGTGTCCAGCCACAATAAGTAGAATAGTATTATAGCAAAAATGAAAATTATCAGAATGGGTTTTGTGGAGAGTTTTAGAAATTTCACAGGTTGAAATCATGAGTCGATTGAAGCTAGACCACCACATATGTAATCGATAGTTTCAGTCGGAGGGATGTTAGTGAACAAAGATGTTATGTTTAGTGATACCATGGTTCTGCCATTTATATTTATATTTTTAATTGTATCCACAGATTCAAAGACGTCTTTAACACTATGCTTAACCAGTTCTTGGTGCAATATTTCTAAATAGAGATACCGATTTCAGTAAGTAAAATGAAAGAACTTCTGTTGGAATGCACTATAAATATCAACTTTAAGTTTAACAATGAATTTTTCAGACAAGTAGATGGGGTAGCAATGGGATCACCTCTAGGCCTGATCCTTGCTAATATTTTTCTGGCCAAACTAGAAAATGGACCGTTTAAAGACATCCTAAGTAAGCTTGATTATTACTGTCGATACATAGATGACACACTAATCGTATGTGACGAAAATATCAACAAACAGGAGATGTTGAACTCTTTCAATAATGTCCACCCAGCCATTAAATTCACCAGCGAGAAAGAGAAAGACAGTAGTATAGCTTTTCTGGATGTCCTACTTTCTAGAAGGGATAAACGGTTCCATAAAGCGAAATATATTTAGAAAGAGTACATGGACGGGTCAGTATACCCATTTCCAAAGCTTCACACCTCTTCAGTATAAAATAAATTTGGTTAAATGTCTCAACCACAATCAAGTTATTATGTTCTGAAGGCAGTGTGGATAGCAAAATATTTATACTAAAGAACACATTACGAAATAATGGCTATCCAGATAATTTCGTTAAAAAAATACCTCGTAGAAAGTACTAAAAAAAGAAATTGTGACAGTAAATAAACCCTATATCTGAGACTAGACTTTAAGGGGGACATAGCGGGTGACATTTTAACACATTGACTCAAAAGATCTATCTAAAGGACGTTTCACGCCGCCAAGCTACACATAATTTTCTCAACTAAACCAGTACTCATACAACTAATCAAGGATAGGTTACCGAAGATGGGCTCCTCCATGTGTGTATACCAATTCAACTGCTCCTGTGGAGCTAGTTACGTAGGCCGTACTCAGAGGGGTTTATCCTTGCGTGTTCGTGAACATTTACCAGCATGGTTGGGAAAAGGAGTTACTGAATCGATCGACAGCACTATTCTTTCTCACTTGGTAGATAGTAAACATCATATCAAAATAGAGGAAGCTTTCTCTGTTTTATATCAGGTCCCAAAATATCTACCTCAAGGAGCTAGATTACGATTGCTCTACATAGCCGAAGCCATCTGGATGAACTCCTGAAAACCAAACTTATGTATCCAGAAAAAGTATATCCAGCCTCTTTGTTTACCTTGGCCTACGACTGGATCACCGAATACGTAGACTGAATATTATTAACCTCTTACCCCCTTCCTTTATTTGTATTTGTTTAATTTTTTTCCTCATCACCATTATTTTTGATGATCTGTATCTTAATCTTCACATACATCATCCCCAATTCGTTTATCGTAATTACCTTGATAACACCCCCTTATTACATATTATATTCACACAACAATCTTATTATTATTATCTCAATTGACAAGATGAAATTCTCCTACTATGCATTTTATTCACACTTTTTTGGCATTTTCATTTTTCACAGGTTGAAATCATGAGTCGATTGAAGCTAGACCATCATGGAAAACCTGGAAGCACTGGACGGCCGTTTCGTCCTAGTATGGGATTCCTCAGCAGTGCGCATCCACGGTCCCGCACCACGCGGGATTCGAACCCCGGATGCCGGCTCAGTGGTCTGGTGGTTAAGTGCTCACGCGCGAAGCCAGTAGGTCCTGAGTTCGAATCCCGCGGGATCGTGGATGCGCACTGGTGAGGAGTCCCATACTAGGACGAAACGGCCATCAAGTGATTCCAGGTTTTCCATGGTGGTCTAGCTTCAATCGACTCATGATTTCAACCTGTGAAATTTCTAAAACTCTCCACAAAACCCATTCTGATAATTTTCATTTTTGCTATAATACTATTCTACTTATTGTGGCTGGACACTTTACTCCAAATCATTCTGACCTTTATTGAATGACTTTTCTAATTTGCAAATAATACAATTTTGAAGTATATATATGTCGTAACAGATGCAAACGTTCACCATTTTTAACACCTAACATTGTCAAATTCATTAATACATGCCTTATTTTTGGCCTTTGTAAAATATCATAATTATGGACTTGTAACTGTAGAGTCTGATGATGAAGTTATTGAAAACCATGGTTCGCTCAAATATTCTTCATTTTTGAATATTTTATGGGGAATTTTAATGTTCGTTTAAAATTGTTTTGCTTGGTTTGTCTCATTGCTCAAACATTTACCCTTACTTTTACTCAATAACATCCCTTCTATAGCTAGACAAGGAAGTTAATCATAAAAAGACCTAAACTGTAGTAAATGCTCATCGGTTGAAGCTGTTATATTTCACATCAGGGTGGGGTGTGAAAATTAACAGGTTATAAATCAAAGGATTCGAATTAATCGTACATATCACGCTGTGAGAAGCCAAACATAAAATTGATGGATTCTAATTGTAGGTCAATAGTAAAATCCAAGGTCTAAAGGGAAAGTGAAAAATCAATACGTATTCATCAATTAGCCTGTTTTAGACTCATACCACCCAATCCCTTCAAGCCATGTATTAGCGCATAAGCGTCAACATAAATACTATTCTGGAACCTACAAAGATATTCCTAGTTAGTCCTAATCATAAAAGTGTAATGAAAAGCTAACTTTATTTCAATGTTTTCTTGCAGGAACACAACACATACATGTTAATATTCATATCGATATATTTCGATGTTATCATTATTACGTCGAAAAGTACTGGTATAAATCAAAGTATTGTTTACCTTCAAAATCTTTATTATTTCAAATTTTATTAGAAAGAAACTTTAGCACATTAGAAATTGGGTTATACTCACTTTTTCATAATACATTATATTTGAAACATATAAATTTTAAATGACCAAAAATAGTGATTATACGCGTGTAGACTATCTGGTTGGAATCCGCGAGATGATAGCAACCGATGGTTAGAGACCATGAATGACATGGCTCAAAATCGTTTGCAATGGCGCAGTGCATCAACTCTTTGTGTTCTCCCAAATTTTGATCTCCTTATTCCTCCTTGTCTCTTTTTTTTCCTTCCCAAATTTATTTCACTGTATTATACTCTTTCAATAACACCTCCAAACACTAATTTTCCCGATTACTGCTTATACTCTTATTACCTCTACCACTACGGGATTTGAATCGACAATTGTATCTGTGTGCTAATGTGGTGTGGCAACTCGAACTGATGTAGGGACGTACGTACGAAGTTCTACGTTGTTACTGACTGACTGATTATACGCGACTAGGTATCAAGTCAAAATTTCTTTTTAGTAATCTATAGTTAAAATAAAAAGAATTTAGCGAAGAAAATTTTCTTTGCTCAATTTTCTTGATTTTCATTCAATGACGTAATGGATTATTTTAACAATAGGAGGTAGTCAAAAAAAGAAAACCTTTGTTTTAGGGATTATTATTATTATTATTTCGAAATTATGTGGTATATTTAGGTTGATTCATTATTATCGAGATTTTTATTGTTGATATGAACTGGAAAGAGAATTAAATCATCTCAAAATACGTGTATTCTAATTGTAGTGATAGTATAATAGTGTGAAGCTATCTGCTCTGACAAGTTTATCTCGGATAAATATCAAACAATTGAAATTAATAGTTCATTTAGCTATGTATGATTATTTTAATTTGTGTTAATTCGAAATATCCGAAAAATTCATTTTCTTTAACCTTGTATACATAAATGTTTTAGTATTCACTTGCTGTAAAATATGTTCGTGAGAATAAAGAATTATGTACAAAATTACATCTCACTGAAACATACTTGGATAATTTCACTATGTTGAGTGTTTTAAATGAAAAACTAAACGTTCAATATGATACACAACTTTTGAAAGATCAAACTGGTTGGCTTGTTCCTGGATTTCTACCAAGAATCACAGATGGTCGGTATACATGCCCAGTTTTTTGGCGTCCATTAAAAGATAATCGGAACAAAATATTGCCTTTATTGTGATGTACATAAACTATCTTTGATGATCTTTGTTTTATATTCATTCTTGTATATATAAGATCATCTATTCTCGAAGTTTGTGTTTTTAAGAATGTCTTCTGTAAAGAATACCAGACATGCCTTTTTATCTACGGTAGGAAACCAGTCAACCAACTGTTGAGTATATAGTCGCATTTTATCCAGTCGCTTGTCGAATTTACAGCCACAAGTTCAAAATTATTTTTATCTTTCGCACATTCACTACGATTTCTATCTAACCTTGTACGTAAATTTTTGAATGATCATTAAGCCATACATTCGTATCATTCTTATTAGATTTAGATCATATATGCATCAGAGAAAATGCACTGTATGTACGCACTTGTCATTGCGTTATTGGAGAATCGAATGCAAATCATCTCATGATCTAGTTAAATTATGAAACATTTAATTACTACTTATTTAATATAATTATGAGAACAATTTTCTGAATTAGATATTGGTCAATTAAGATGATGCTTTGATGAGTGATAAGTAGTGAATACAATAAGTTTATCATATTATGGTACACAAATGATGATGATCATTGAAAATATCTTAAAAGTATATACGGTTTATTGTTTCTGTGCAAAAACGTTCATTGTTGTATTAACACATTCTCACACTCTTAATTTAAAATCACGGTTCTTCGCTCCTCTAAATCTCATTCAACCTAGTCACTAATTTATTCCCTAAAATGTTTATCTAGTGAGTAATCTCAGTTGTGAGTTATTAGTAGCTACAGAAATATTAGCCCGAGTATAAAAGTATAAGTATATACAGGGTGTTGGTGATTCATTCCACCGCTCTCCAGAGGACGAAACGCTTATAACTATTTTATCAAATATCCTATTGAAGCAGTGCTTGCCTATATTGTAATCAGCGAGCAACTGGTGTTGATATTAGATTGTGTGTGATATTTCAATGAGATGAACTAGTCTACTTGTATACTTTCATTAACTAATACGGTCGAGATGTAGGAGATCTGTGCAACTAAAGCCTACCTTTGTGTGCTCTAATGGTTAGCGAATGAATATATAAGGAATAGGTTAACAGTAAAAACCTGATCAGTATAACTATCCTTTTTTTCTGTAGATACTACTAAGGTCAACAGTTTAAATCAGTTTGTGATGAATGTAATTTCTGTGTTAATGAATACCTTGGTTGTGGAAGTAGTAATCCTCTGAAAAGTCCAGAATATCTACTGACCCACCCTGTCATAAAAAAAGGAAGAGGAACTAGTAATTAGTTCATTCGCTTCTCGAACTTTCTTTCACATAGCTGCATCCATATGTGTCGGGTGATTTTCTAATAGCTTCATACAAGTCTGTAGCGAACTTCTATAGTTTTTGACTATACACGCTTCCTGCATAGGTTCCCTCAACTTACCACTGGTCTTTATTAAGAGGAATTCTTCCTAGCTAGCAATGTAGTCGGCTTCCTCAACTTGCTTATAACCTGTTCGGATAAGTTTTGTTGGATCAATCGTTTTAAATAAGGCTTAAATGATACAGCTGTAAAATAAATTATACAAATTCACTACGTTTGTATAGTGAAGTCGAGTGATTATTTATACTGCATTCGCTTATATATGTCTCAGTTACACGACATAGTTTATAGCTTTTCAGCTTTGACCACTAAAGTTTATTTCTCAATGAAACATCTGAATATCGAGAATTCCAATCTATAATTGGTATGGTATTTTAAAATATACCACAGACACTGTTAGCTTCAATATAAAATAAGACCAGTTATGTCAACGACCATCAGCGAGATTGGTTATTGATTAATTAAGGAGACAAATATAAATATGATAGCAGATGATAAGGAGGGATATCTTTATTTTTGGAGTCATACAATCCATTACTACATTCCAGCTCATGCTAGTAGACATTATTTTCCTGAAATTAAATTTGTATGACACCAAAGGGACTGTGCATGTATGACTTTATTCACAGTAATGCTTGTCCCCTAAACGACTGGAACTATGGGACAAAGAAGAGTTTGTCGTGTTCAAACCAATCTCTTTATAACTTGTCTTCGAAATAAAATGGCATATTTGATGGGAATACAAGTTGTCTGATGACAGTATGTGACTGTAGTCACATATGTTCAGCTTATAGCACAAACGCGAATCTAGCTGTTCATGATGATGTAACCATTCACAATTTACTAGTACTGTTAGACCGTTGGGTTAGTCCAGGAAGTCAATTAATTAAAACTGTATAACAAATACCTCAATGGTAAGTAATATCAACTATCATATCAGCGTAGTAATTGTCGTGGTTATGAAATAAATCTCAACTTTAAAGCTACTGACTTTATCCACTGTGCTCACATTTTCAATAACACTTTCTTTTTAATTGGAACTAAGATTTTGCGTCAAATAATTTTAGTTGACGGTATTAAATAAGGGGTTATTATTATTACTACTTTCATCCTAATATCTTTCACATATCTATAAGATAGAATTCATGGATGGCAATCCATACAGTTTTATAGTGGAAAATGTTTTAGAGAAAATTGGATAAAAGATTAGTTTCCTAGTTTGACTTGTAAACTTTTATATTTAAACGAGTGCATTTCTCACCCACCCTTTGAACAATATTAATGCTGCTTAGCGTATGCTGAATATACAATTATTGTGCGAAGCGATAGTTTGAAAGTACTTTGGAATTTAAATATTATTCAACAGATTTAGCTGTTTTTTTGCCTTTATACATTCAGATCAATATTTCAGTGAACACGAATTTGACTAAACAAACGATATATTATTATTGTTGTTAGTTGTGTCGTTTTAACTACTTTCTTCCTTACTACCATAAAGGGTTTGTGTAGATTGTTGCTTTTCATAGGCTATATCAACTGATTTTAGCCAAACAACCATCAAAAACCAGAAAGCACTAGGCAGATAATTTGTATTAGTATGAAATTTGTAGACCATTGGGTAATATCTCAGTGGTCTTAAGGTTAAAGGCTCACAGGAGACATGAATGTCCTAGGTTCAATCTCAAGATTTTTGGATGTGCACTGCTGAATAGTTTAATGGTAGGATGAAACAGCGATCCAGCGCTTCCTAGTTTTCAGTGGTTGTCTAAATATAATCAGTCTACGATGTAAATTAATGCTATTTCCTGATATATGAAATTAGTCTATCGATCCGAAATTTTGAAAAGTAAAGGAATAACAACGTTCAGAAAAGTTATCCAGGTCAATTCTATCATGTTTAGACACCAATTAAGTATGAGTTAATTTTCCTCTTATATGTAATTTTCAATCCAAGAATCAATGATAATGGATAAGATCATGGAATTATAGCAATTATCGAAATTTACTGTTAGTTCCTTCTATTATACAAACTTTAATGAGGGAAAGGATGAAAAGTTTGAAAGATTGTTATGAATTCATATTTTGTGAAATTTGGTAATTATGTTAGGATATTTCACAATATATACAAAATAGCATTATTTATGCATATGTCGTTAAAAACGAGTAAATAATATATTGTCAAATGATAATGATAAAAAAATTAATGCTACTGATTTATCAAGTACGGGTTTAGGCATGTTACACGCTGATTATTCACAACTCAGTGATCAACAACTGTAAATATATGAGAGGTCATCAGTTACTACCTGTATAGCTCAGTGATAACGCCTCAGACTGTAAAGCTGGGTGACACGAGTTTGAGCACCTTAGGGAGCATCAGTCCAATTGTTGACGGGTGCCAGCTAGCACGAAATCTATATCCGTGGTTTCTTACCGACTACCTCCTGCTAACTTATATCACAATGTGCTATAGTCAGTGATACTGTCTTCTACGTGTGTATCGAATTAACCAAATCACTATCTGAACCTGTGACCTACCAGTTAAAAGCTAAACCCGTTAACCGCTAGATTGTCACTTTTTATGATTGATTAATAATTTTATATTCATTACAATTCCGGAAAGTTGCGGTCACTAGTTTAACCTAAACGTTTGTGATTCTAATCACTAAGGATTTACTTCAAATATTTGGCAAAAATCAAAAGAAATTCACTTCGTATAACAAAATAAAAATCGATCTTAAGTTCCGTGTTTTTGACTTTTTTCCAAAAAGCTGATGTTTCATGCCGAAGTAAATTTATGGAAACAAGGCTTAAAGTAAACATCAATTTTTATCCAATCAATTGTAAATAAACTTAAGCTACATAGACTTTGATTTATATTAAGAAGTGGATTGTGGTAAATAATTCCATGAAGTAAAGCACCAGAGTACAATCTTTAGTTACCATTCTCACCAAAAATGTTATACATTTCTTAATTTTATCAAAGCTAACAAAAAAAGTTTGTAAGTTGCAGTTTATCCTATGCAAAATTAACCTGAGGCCAAATATACAAAATGTATTAATCTGAATCTCCACATGAAAGCTAATGTTAGACTCACAACAAATATTCATCCTTTTTTTGTAATAATGATGCTAGCTGGAATAGTATAAGAGTAAAAACAAGACTCATAGTCATTAAACTAAGATTCATGAAATTGTTGATTGTTGGTTTAAATCTAGTTGGAAAAGCGATATGGCTCTCATCTGATTTTGATAGAACAATAAGAATATGAAGTTGATGTGAAAAATGCCATACATTTTGGACAATCTGGTTGCACATATATTTGTCATGCTCTATGAAAATTTAAAAAAGGTTAGTTAAGCGAAAGTTCCAACGGATAGTTCTAAATAAAGGAGAGAAAGAACCGTTATAATATTGAGAAGAATAGAAAATCGTTGCATCACCCCATGCCATTAAATGACTTACAGGTAACCAAGGCAGATTCAAGGTTACAACGACTTGCTTCTGAACACATGAAGAAGGTTTGAGTTTGGAAACAGTCAAAGCACTTATAAATCTAAGATTCGTCATGACAATTTCTGTGAAATGTTTTAAATGCTTTATTGGTGTCAGTCAGATGCCCGTCTCAATAGTTTCTCTATCAGTGAGCATGGTT